CTCTGTTGCTATTGCTAGAAAACGAAATCACCAGTATCTTTAAAACTCACATTGAAGTGACCAATGTGAATATTAGTTAAACTGCTGTTTCTGTATCTACCGTTATTTGTAGGTCTTCCTTCAGGATAAATGAGGGTAAAAACTATACTGCTACAATATCCCAAAGACTGAAAAATCAGCAAATACAAATAAAAATAATCTTCACCTAAAGTAAGAAAAATGATGTAATTTCTATGGGCTGCTAACAAATGGTGAACTTCAAGAATGACTATTTTCTGTCACAATTGCATGTTAGTTTTAATTCTGTTTTGCTTTAAATACAACTAGAGCCAGTGCTGTAGAAGGAAGAGAGTGGTGGCAGGGGACGAGGAAGGCTGGTTATCATTGCATCTTATGGGCAAGATGCGCCACGAAATTTTGTGCTGTAGGGGTAGTACTGCTATCTTCACACTTCAAGGTGGCCCTGGTCCCTGGTCTCATCTGTCAGGTACTGGGACCTTTTGGGGAAAACAACTGTAAATCCTTCTTTAATTAGCTGGAACTCCCCTGTGGCCTAAAGGAAGGCTTACTAGAGACAGACAAAAATCCCTCTAAGACGAGGGGAAATAAGATGTGTAAAACAATGGAAACCTGAGCATTTAGGGGAGCTATCTGTAAGCTGCCTTTACAGGCTTAAGACACTTCTCACCCATGTGAATATTCTGCCTGCAGCATCCTCAATCTTCTTTAGTATCCTGGCTTGGATTGCTTTCCCTTTTTCCTTTCCCCATTTTCCTTTTCTCTCATTTTCTCTCATTTTCTCTCCTTCTCTCCTCTCCCCTCCCCTCTCCTCTCCTCTTCTCCCCTTTTATTTTATTTTATTTTATTTATTTTATTTTACTTTATTTTATTTTATTTTATTTTATTGTTTTCTCTCTTCTCTTTTTTCTTTTTGGGGAAAAAAAATCTGTAAAATATTTCTGTATTTCGGATATTAAAGAGAGCTCACTTCTTGCTTTAATTAACTCCATTATGTTGTATGTTAGTTCCCCCAGAGATTTTGGGAATTATTTGAAGTACTGTCTTTGTGCATTACCACACTAGCTAGGACTGTCCCAGGCACTTCAGCTAACAGCCACAGCATAAATTCTGTAGCACAACAGAGTTCCTCTGCGCCATCATATCTTTGAAATCATTTTTCTTCACAGTTTTGACAGATCACAATTTTTGTTAGCCTCAGAAGGCAATGTAAAAAGCATTTATTTAAGTGATTTTTTTTTGCTGCTGCACTTTTCACTCAGAGATGGAAACCTAGCCCAGACTCTAAATGCAGTCTTTGCAAAGTACAAGGATTTAATTGTGCTTTCATAAAAAAAGTGTAACCTTAGAGAAATTGAGATAATAGACAAAGGAAGTACTAGTAAAGGAAGAAAGTACATTTGCTTAGGACAGAGGCTGAAGATGCAGCCTTGTGTATAGCAGTATTCACCACCAAATACATTACACACAGAAAGACGGGAGGATGAATGTTGCCTGGTGGTGAAAGTGGTAATTAATACACTGAATCCTATTTTTACATTAATTTATCCATATAGCATCCATGAACAACAGCATATTCTGTCTGGGAAAAGTAGACACTTTATAACATGCATTAAATTTAATTTGTTCAAATACCGCTTTTTGTATGAAGCACATTTTGCAATATATAATGGAATTATCCAAATTCTTGGAAATAAAAGCATATGCACTCAACAGGTGACATTTTTAGTCTAAGTCTCTTCATTTTACACAATAGCAAACAGCAGCAAATGTAACAATAACATTCTTCTAAGATACAGGGGTTATGGCAGCAGTGATAGTGCTGTGTCTCAGTGACCGTTCACCTACATCAGCAAGTGTCAGCTGGAAATCTAAAGCATAATGAGACCATTTACATAGTCCCGGAAATGCAGATGTTTCTCATCTTTACACATATCCAAATGTGCACTACATGATCCTGTGGGTTCTTGACAAGTCAACCAAGTGTTATGAAATTCAGTCAGAAAACAGCAAATTAATTATTCAACACTATCTGAAGGACCTTTCCTTTGAAGGGTGACACTTATTTCTGCTGCATTACACAAAGAACCTTGCTGGAGGAGCAAAGACTCTGAGGGATTTTTTGTGGTGTTGGTATTTGTTTTTTTCTTTGTTTATTTTTTGTTTGTTTGGGGTTTTTTTAGCTCAGCTGTCAAGCCAATTACAGAGACAATAAGGCCATTTCAGTATTTTTATTTCTTGTCACCAAGATTAAGATCCAGAAAATTGAATGGAACCCAATTCCTTCAGACTGTGTAAATCTTATTTTTGGTCCTCCAAAGCTGAAATGTCTTGGTAGCATTTAGTCATCAGTTTGCCATTTCTAAATCTTTTCAGTTTTCAGGTGCACACTAATAAAAGTCAGGGAGATGGAGAATTAGACTGCTAGTGGTGTTACTGACAGGGCTTCTCCTCACATCAGACAGCCCAGGAAGGGGCGAAATGGTGAGGAGATCCTTTCTCTACCTGAAAAGGCTTGAAACTCTATTATCCTCCTTCCTAAGCAGTGCTTTCACAGCACAACATAGATCACTCTGGGAAGATTCTCAGTGTCTCCAGATGGAGATGCTCCACTTTGTATTAGGGCATAATGTTTGAGCCCAGATATTACATGTCTTTGCCAGCAACTACTATATTTTCTCTATACTACCCTTTTTCTAAATGGTCCTCTCACAATGAACAGTATCAATTAAAGACATTGAGAAAGCCCCATTGAGAGTGTATTAGGGAATAATGAGGGAATAGTGCAACTCCTCAGTAACACTATTTCAGAACTTCTCAAGAAGCTGGAGTGCAGCATGCATCTCCCATTTCTCATCCCTAGATTTTAGATCTGCTTCTTGTGGTCTGCTTTTTTACTGTAGTATCACCATTTCATAGACAATATACCTTGCTCTTGGTCCCATTTAATTACCATTCATATTGTCATTAATCGACATTGGATCTTAAGACTTGTGTTTTCTGACAATTCACAAACTGTATCACAGGCAAGTGAATCATAAATTCATTCAGTAAGAGACTGAAGGAAGTACAATAGAAGAGAAAATAGTGGAGAAATGATACCTAAAAATTTACAAAGTTCCATGGCTAATTAAAGCACTTAAGTTCTGTGTCCAGAATTCCTATTGGAAAGCCTACATCCTGTGTGACTCAAGACACAGTTTAGATTTCCAAGTTTATGTAGGTGATTAATGGCCTTTGTGTAGAATCCGGTATACTCATATCAATTTGAAACTGGGATCTAGTCTTCTAAGTCAGTTAGGCTCTACCACGGTTTACTTGGGTGCTACAAGCTACTCATGATTACCCAGTTCAGGGGATGTGATGGGGCATGCTATGGTCTGGCCTATGTGTGTGCTTTCTTTCCATGGAGGTAAGAAGAGCAGAAAAACAAGAGAAGAGCCAACTTACACGCTTGCCCTGCTATTCATTCAGGATCCAGTCAGGGCACATTCCTGGGCTGGAAAGTATTCCAATAAATATAGCTTATATTTAAAACTTTTTCTTTTTTTTTTTCCTTTAAAAAAAAGTATTTGTTAAGCATACATGCATATTGATTGATACAATGATCAGCAACTTAACATAGGCTTAAGTAGTTCAAACACTTCCCAGTAGCAAAAAAAAACATAATCCCAAGATGAATTCTATAGATGGAAACAGTATTTCCTTTTCAGGAACTTCCCTCCTATTTCAGGTGCTCTTTCATAGGACTGAGGATTTGCCATCAGGAGAGGCAAAAACAGAAGCCTAAACCTACCAGTAGAAATCCTTAACTGACATTAGCTTTAAATGTCCTGACCACATTTAAACTATATAAATTTCAATGACCTTTTCAATTTTGCTTCTGGGGCAGCAGCAGCTAGTGAGGGAGAACTTGGTAGTACAGTTCTTTGAGAGATGGGGATCCAAAATTCAATCCAAAGACACAGAAGGTTTACATGTAATTTCTGCTATTCCCTAACAAATCCTGTGAGGACCCTTGGGTTAAGCCCATTGCTCATTCTGTGGGAGCACAACCCCTCTTTCCTCCCTACAAGAACAATACAGCAGAACTCTGCTAGGAGCTTGCCATGGAATTTCCATTTCCCCATGCAGGATTTTCCTGTACAGGACTAATCTGGACAGTTAATGGCTTCTTAGCTGAGTTTAAATGTCAGTTCAGAAGCATGGGTGGAATAGCAGGCTACTGGAGGATATGAAATATTTCCTCAATGGAGGCATTTACCAAAGCCTCTGTAGGATTTCCATGAGTCCATGAAAGCCAAGTCTTCTGTAAATTTTCATGTTAATTTACATAGATGTTTAAAAAAAAGGAGTAATGGAATTTCAAAGCTCATATACATTAATTTTCCATCCAGCAGAATAACTTTGGCGATCTTGTACTTCAGTGAACACCACCTCCGCAAGCAGAGTGTGGCTTAACAAGAACTAGCATAATGGAAAGTTTAATTTCCAAAATATCATAAAGTTGCAGGAGTAGTGAAGGAAGTGAACGTTACTTGCACTTATGGTACACTCATTTCTGCCTTTATTAATATGAATTTATGTTTTCTTTTTATGCTGCTATTTGTATAAATGAAATCTACCATGACATTTAAAACTGGATTAAAATGTTTCTTTTGTTTCTGCTTTTGAGTCTTTTACAGATTAAATTATTTTTTAATGTTGCTATTATATGTATATGATGGGTATTACTATGCATGGGCCTAGTCCAACTACCACTAAGCTCGGTGGAAAGATTCCTTTGATGTGGATGGGAGATGGATTGGGCGATCAGTATGTCTTGCTGTTTGGATACATTAGGGTACAAAAGTGTTAATGCTTTATGGATTAGCAAAGATATTACCACCCGAATTCTCAGTGTACATGTATTACCCAAAACAAGTAGTTCCATGAACAGTGGAATTAATGAAGCCTCTTTTTCTATGATTTGTAGCTGAGGTGAATTTCCATGTGGATTCCATGGTTGCACTCATACTGCAGCCTTTCCTGCTAGGACAGCAATGTCTGAGTCCCTCTCAATCTCCCTGGCTGCTTATTTTCACGAGATTTGTATAAAATAAATACAGATGAGTCTTCTATCTCTCTGCTGAATTTAGGTAAAAGCAGCTAATGGATTTACGAGGGACTGGCAGATATGTGACACAGAAGCATACAAATACTATAGTTACAAGCTACATTCCTGTGGAAACTGGACTAGAAGTAAAGGAATGCACACACTGGACTTTGTATCATCAGACTTTGATAATATGCTAAAGGAACAGTTAATAAGAAACCACAAATGTAGATTTAAAAGGAGTAAGAAGTAATCTGAGTTTTAATAAGCAACACAGAAAGCTCAGTTATGCCCATAAGGACAGCAAGGCATTGCATAACCTCATGACTTCGCAGGGGAGGTTTCTTGTTCCAGTGAGACCCTGACGCCTCCTGGAACTTCCCACAGTACAGACGGGTTTTGAAATATTTATGATACTTCTACATGCATTTGGGAGCAGGTGGCTCCTGCAAGAATTAAGACTTGCTTTGTAAGCCAGAGGAGAAGGTCAACAGACCTTGGCTTGGTTCTTTCCTTTGTACTTTGGTAAGCAAAATAGGGAATAATCTCATTTCATTCCTGGGGAATGCACTCCTAAGAACCAGGGGAAAGTCCTTAAATGAGCCAGAGGAGAGAAACGAAGAACTATTAGTGTCAGACATTGTGGTCCTTTTTCATTCTTCTTCATTCTTTCCATCTTCCAAGTCTGCATTTTCAAAAGATTGTTGCAGCAGTAGTAGTAAGCATACTGGGTCAAACTGACCATTAGAATTGACTTTGCTTCAGTTATTCTGTGAGGGATTTGATCCTTATAGTCTGTGTTTGGGTTCTGGTTTGTTGGGGTTTTTTTTGGTTGGTTGGTTTTGTTGTGGCACTTTTTTTTTTTGTTGTTTGTTTTTTTTTGTTTATGTTTGTTTTGTTTTTAACTAATTGCATTAATAATTAATAATTGAGAGCAGATTTTAATATTTCATAAACATAAAAGCCCTAATTCCCACATATTTCCTTATTATAGGGAAGAGTAAATAATACTGAAATTGATGTATTTTAGGTGGAATCAGTACTTGCATTCAAACTTAACATTGCGTAGTTCTTTTCATTAGAATTTCTATAGCTTTGCCAATGTCAACAATCTGAAATGAAAAATTCTACATTTATCCTCTGCTCTAAGGAGATTTTATATTTTAACTTAAATTCAAAAGAAAAATGATGAATGAAAGGTGAAGAAGTATCTGTGCAAATGTTCAGTTATCTTCTCAAGAAACAATGTTTTATAAAGCTCTACCATCCCTATATGATATTACTTTGAAAGACAGGAAGAGCAGTCCTGAAATAGGACGGATGAATGTATCAATCTGAGAAATATCTGGGCAGAATCATCCCAAATGTAAACCTTCAAGAGCATCATTTGTGGATTGCCAGTAGAGTTTGTGGAAGGCTGACTGGCAAAAGTCTCAGAAATTCTCATTTGTACTTTCTGACTGAACTCTTCAAGTGACTGGCACTAACTTTGTGCACATGACCTTGAGTAACCTTTGTTTGGCTAATTTGTGTGCTGAATTTATGCCATATTCCATATTAGGGTTTGAGATAGATGGTGGCTGAAGCAAAAGAGCCAGATAGAAAGAAATGTTCTGTTTTACTTCTCTTTATCAAAGCAAGAACTGAAAAAGCTTTACTTTGCCAGGAACTTTTGTGCACTGTAGAACAAGATGGTTATAGTGCGTTGAATGAAAGTTATTTTAATAATGGTATTTTATCATTTTGATACTTTAGTGTTCTTTTCAGACCATTTTTATTTGAAATTGAGGGTATCTGACTGCTTTATGATCTAATACTTCAGTTAACTGAGCATAGTTTACCTGTGACATACATTATTCACTAAATTAATTGTTGTTCTCTAAAGGATGTTACAACTCATGATGCTCTTGGGAAGAATCTTTCTGTATCCCATTGGCTGCTCAAGAAGATAATTTTTCAAAACTCTAAGTATGTCAGCATTTTTCTTGCAAATCTTTTGCTGGACATAAAATGCAACATGTAGAATGTTATATGCTGAATATGGTGGCTATCTACTAAAATGTTATCTTCTGAAATAACTGCTGTATTTTTCTGACTGTGTATCCATCCTGCTGCAAACTTCCTCTCAAATTATTTTGTTGTTTTGTTTTCACAAGATGAACAGCTAAACAGTTTGAAATCAATACTACATGCTCTGCAATGTAGGTGGTATCCAAAAATATCTTCCAAATTTAGCTATATAGCACCTGTTTCACAAGCTCTTAGCACCTGCTCTCCTTATGGGGGTATTAACATTTACTTCAGTATGGATAACATCCGGTCTTGTATTTGTTGATGCTCCCACACAACATCAACAGCTATACTACTAGAAGAAACAAACAGGCACATACTTCCTTCATCAAAATAGATGAGCAAGATATACCGGACCACAGATATTTTTTGTCTTAATGATGTGGCTATTTATATTATACTTAAGAGTCGTCTACTATGGGTAAAGTGAGGAGGGTGCAATACTTCCCTTTGTGTTTCTATTAAAAACAACAGGAGACAGATAAAGGGTTTGACGAGTATGGCTTTCACAGATGCATTATGCAATCCTCAGCAGTTTTTTCCATACCCTAGCATGCAGCTGACTTGGGAAAAAGTAAGAGATGGCCAGGGAATTTGTACACAATCTGCCACTGTGGAGGTCACTGCAGCTCTGATCTGCACTGTGGACTCCTTAATTTGCCATTGCTTGGTCAGGCTGTGAAAGATCTATTCTTAGCCACTGAGTAGCAGCATTTGATGCTTAGCAATTAACTGTGTTAATAGAGAATTGCAACACTTACCAGGGCAGAGGCCTGCACATATGAATGTTTGTGCACAGCTATTGGGAGTACTTATGTGACCAGAAGAGCTTATGTGGAAATTATCAGTTAAATGTCAATCTTCTGCATATGAAATGCTCACAAAGCAGTGGTGGCCCCAGATTAAGCCTTCTGATTTTTTTATTATAGTATTTCACAATAAATGTATATTATGTCACTAGGAAAACCCTGATTTATGTGATCTCTGAGGTTAAGTTTGGGGATTATTTTAGTTTATCAGAGCAGAATAGAAATTTTTAGCATAATTGAGAAACAGGGACAGAAATTTAAGCTTTTCTGGTACATACTGGATCATCATTGAAGAGACTGTTGTGTCATGGCTATTTAAAAGCAAAACTGCTCTAATAATTACCAGTGATCCTGCGACCATTTACCATTGGTTCAATTATAAATGAAGATAAACTATTAAACATTTTAAAGCAGTTTACAAAAGAGGTCAGGTTAATAATATCTTGATTAATCAAGAAACTGAGGGAGAGCAAGCAACTGATGAAAATTAAAAAACACAATGGTTTTCTCAGTGTCACCAGGTAGGTAACACAAGTAATGCATGCTCCCCCCGTGGCACAAGAGAGACAAAGAGGCAGATACATGCGTTGATCTTGCTTTACAGCCCAGTGCAATGTTAAAAAGCTGCACAATGTATCCTCAGCCTATCAAGGAAAGAAGCACGATGTGCACTACCTCTTTTTTCCCCTCTCATCTCAGTATTAAAACCTCAAAAAAAGTGCTCTGTACTTTCATTTTAAAGTCATAGTCTAGTTATTAGCATACGGTCTGAGTTGGAAATGCTTTGCTGAAGCTAATATTAGCTTCTCGGGTAAAGTTAGTTTACATTTTCCCCCCTTTTACATCTTAAAAAAACCCCAAATTCTTAATGTTGAATGTACAAACATTATAGATATTAAGATTCCTGTATGCTTGAACTGGTAGGTTGTTTTTTTTTCCACTATTATGAATCTTAGTTTGGAAAACACTGACTATGTTGAATATATCCTAATTTGTTCTAGGTTCTTATTGCCTTGGCAATTGAACTTTAGCTCTGATTCAGAAAAAGAAATGAGGAGTGCAAAGGCAACTGTTTACAAGCCTTTGCCAGGCAAAGCTACATAGAAGTTTTATCAGAGTAAGAAATTCAGGAGCTGACCCTGTGAGTAGATTTTATTTTCAAAGCAGGTTCCCAGAAGCCACACAGAGGAGGGAAACAAAGCTAAAATTGGGACAAGGTCAACTGGACATAGAAGTGACTGTAACAAACCTCAAATAGATCTGTTATTTTTGTTTCAACTACAGTTCACATAATTCTTATTAAGAATCTAATCTAGATATTTACACAGGAATCTGAAAGGGGAACTTTTTAATGACTACCCAGAGGGAAGGTTGTATCTGTAACTGGTGTTAACTTCATACTTGATGCTAACACATACTGTTATCGGTTTCAATATTCAAAGACTGAGAAGTCGCCCTCTACCAAGGGTATAATATATTAGAAACTAAAAGACCTGGAAAAATCTTTTGAACGTATTCTATAATTATTCATTGCTTGGAATTATATATGTATATTATATACACATACAAACACAGAGAAATACATGTTTTTTACCAGACTAAGGCACACTTCAATTGCAAGGGTTTCACAACCAATATGAGTAGAAGGATCAGGTCTTATTTAAACATGATACAAGTGCAGACTGTGCATATTTTCCTAGCAGAAATTAATTATTTCAAATCAATTGATAGAGCTAGTTCATCTCAATTAAAAATGACGACACTGTTTTTACTTCAAAAACTCCTCTTCTAAAGGAAAATTATTGTATCATAGGTGGAGTAAATACTTGCATACCCATGGTGTCCTCATGTCGGAGACCTCATTCTCAGAAACATTAGGTGTCAGATGACATTACTCGCGGAGGTAGTCAACTTAGAATTTCCTCTGTTGCTAAGAATAGAAATTACTGTTATAGGTTTCATAGAGAATGTGTCTGCAAATCCGAATTAATATTCTGTTCAATCTAAACGAGCTCAAATTTAGTTTTTCTCCTTCATGGCATTTAACTTGAGAAATGCCTGACTTGTTCTATATTTAGGAATTTTAGATCTGGGAAGATTGAATTTAGATAATTTCTAGATTTTGCTGCTTGCATGAATAGACAAAGAATATTTTATCTTTCTGACTTTCAGTTTTGCTATGATTTTATAGTCCATTTTTCATTGGTGTAACATGCAGATGTTATTGGGTTTTAGGTGCATTTAAGTAAACTTTAAGCAAATACATAAAATACATAAGCAGGATATTGGGAAGATAGATAGGTATATTCTGTATGCTTGTATTGAAAGCTGTTCTCCATTCTTCTGAAAGACGACACTTGAGAATTCATGTGACATGGAAAATACAGAGGTTTTAAATAGTGATGCAGCTAAAATGTAAAACTCAGCCAAGGGCAGCAATATCCCTTTCAGACTGCTTTTAATAGTCACAAACTGCCAAATCCTTTAACAACAGAATTAAGGCTAACTGACAGCTGAAGAAAAGTGCACCTGATATTTAGAGATAAACACATATAATTTTCAGTGTCATAAAGAGGCAGGCAAAATCTAACCTTCAGCCTGGATTCAGAATATCATAGTACAAAGGGAAATAAAGTTTCTTTTCATTCTATCTCTGCCATTATCATGCTGGCTAAGCCAGCAGCTGGCTCAAAGTCTTTCTTAAAAATGGGAGCAAAAAGGCAATTTAATAGCATCCTAATTGCAAAAATGCCACAAAGTCTTCCTACTTACTAAACAGTCTTAACAACCCTGGAAAGGTAGGCCACACATAAAGTATCTCAGTGGGACTACTCTTATTCTTAAAATCATGAATCTTTTAAATTTATTAACAAATTATAGTCCCTAATGTATAATTAGTGAAAGATCTTGATCCTTGTTGCTTAAAATCTCAGTAGTGCACAAAGGAGGGGAAGAAGAGTTGGGCTATTCTTTTTCATTTTACAAAGGGTAAATAAACTTAGATGCAAGAAGATGGAGAGTCCTGCCTAAGGCTGGGCAGGGAACCCTTGGCCAAGCCCTGAACTCTTAAGTTCTGAGTACTTTAACCTCACAGTTGTAATTTTAGTTTCACTGAAAAAAACTATTTAATTGCCAATTCAATGTAATGACAACTGAGTGAAGGATATCTTCAGGCAATTTGAGAAGAGAGGATTTTTCTGCTGTCCACCTTAAAAGGGCATGGGTAAATTAAACAATTAGAACTGGTAACAAAGGTAAGCTAAAAGCTAAACATAATAAGACACTGTTTTCAGCATTTCAAAAGAACTAAATACAACACATCAGCAGCTTCAAAATCCTTTTGAACAAGTGCACTCAGAAACAACTAACTAGCAAACAAAGCTATTAGGAAGAGGACAGTGTGGTCAGTGAACTTTTGGCATGTCAACTCTATAAAATGTAGGCTTCTAGAAATATTCCTCACATCCATGTAAGTAGTAAAGAGACAAATTTAGCAACAGATGCTGTGGATATGGTATAATGATCTGTTTCTTTTTAAAAGGCTTGATCTCTTTAAAAAGAAAAGAATATGTCTTACGTATTGTTGAAAAGATTTAATTTTCCTTAAATTTTATAGGATCAAGAATAATAAAGGGATCAGAATCTCAAGAGACCAATGAGATAATTTTATTACATTACTTTGTAGTTAGGCAAATTTTTATTCTTTTCAAATAATACAGAAAATGCTTAAACAACATCCCATATCATGGGATAGGTATATATGATATATCCTATCACGTATCATGATTTCTGGGTAATGAAGATGATTCTATTTAGATAGATAGATTATGCTAGTCTAATCATGTGGGTCAACTATCACATGAAAATGAATGTCCTTTGAAAATAAAGTGTGTTTTTTTTTTCTTTAGTTATTGATTTTTTGTAACAGTGCATAAGAAATTTTATAGGAGAAAAAATACCTCAACCTCAGTAATAACAAAAGCTATAAGAAACAGGTAGGTAATTGTGTCTTGCTATCTTTGGGAAATGTCAGAGCAGAATCAGCATAGATTCAGCGAGCATTCTCTTCAGCTATTTCCTTTCTCCTATCTTTCCAAAGGGCTACTTTATACCTTCAGTAAGAAAACTTCATAGTGAGTATAGGGCTGTAAAAATGATGGTTGAAAATATAAATTATTAAAAAGGATAAGACATCAAGGTGGATTGTTCATTCTAATACGATAAAAATTGCTGTGCCACAAAATCTATTATATATTGCACTAACAAAGTTGATTTTCTATGTTTTGATTCAGGAAAGTGATTAAGCACATAATTAAAGTTAACACTCCAGAACAGGAGGTCTTTAAGAATTAATATGGGCCTTTGGAAATAAATGGGACATAGGATATTCTGAAGGATGCTAGGCAGAAGCTATTAACTCATCTCTGTCATTTGCTTTCGTGTCATCAGAACTACTAGAGGAGTCACAACAGTAAAAGCAAAACAAGAACTGCAGCTATGACTGGTTTCAGCTCTTGACAGGTACTATACTGCCATTTTGATTTTGCTCTTTAATAGTTCTGAATCTGCACAGAATTCAGAACAGTACTGACTGTGCTATCTATCTGAACATATTCATAGTTTAATAAATTTTGATGTAAGTTTGAATTGTTCTAGCAATTCTATTTTAGTGTACTTTTCTTTATAATTGCATAGAGTTACATACTCATCTGAATTCTGGACAACAGTTTTAGATGTTGCATGGATTCCTAAAATAGGAAAGATACTGTGTACACTTACATCATTAGAACAGATCTGTTCAACATATTGTTTCATTAAGAATGGATCTGTTGCACAATTTTCAGGGCAATTACTACAATAGAAGCCCTTGTTAACTTTTCTCAAGGTTTTATTTTTCCCACTTGATTTCCTATTACTAAATTTAGATAGCCTTATTTATGATGTCATGGTTCTCGTGAAACATTCATAGTGTTAAAACATGCTGATATGAAATATAAAAAAATACAATGTTGATATAAAATATGACATGCTGATACAAAATACAAGCTATGGGCAACATACTTCAGATCCCAAAAGTTAAAAATAGAAATGTAGCAGTAAATGACGGGAAGAAGAGGAGGCAAAGGAATTAAGATTAGAGAGCAAACCAAAGTTGATAAAATCGATTTAAAAGGACAATGCTTTTCCTCACTGGCATCTATGAATGTAACCTAAAATAAGCTCAGCAGTCACTTTGCTGGAGAGAAACATTTAATTCACGATGAGAAATGTAACTTTTTCTTTTTTTTTTAGATGTATTTGCAACAGACAACAGTGCCCTCCCCAGATTATCCACAATGAGAATGTATTCCATGCCTTTTTAAATTCACTTATGGGTCACAAATAATTTGCACAAGTATCATTATTAGATATTTAAACTATGAGCTGGTTTGCTTAGTTGAGTAAGCATGATAAGACACATTATTCTTGCTACCCGATTGGATGAGCATGTAAGCAGTTTTTAATAAATAATGGATAGTCTAAAATATAATTCTATGAGCTCACGCCTGCATTTTTAAAGTTTAGCAAACAAGAATGTCAGTAAATCTCAACTGCCAAATATGTATGTGCTGGGTCTTTTTTCTTTTTCTTTTAACAGGTGTGCTGGAATATTTGCAGAATTTTTGCAACAATATCCTGCCAAGCTTTCATTTGCTACATCACGTATTTTTTGCATGATCACTGTATTAGGCACAAGCTCAGTCATTTGTGGTGAAAAAAAAAGCAATGATAAAACAAAAAAGAAAATCAGAACACACGGAAGATATGAAAAACTTCACAGATATTTTTATACTTGTAAAGAACAGAAAGCAAAATAAATTGTTCAGATTGATACTGTATTTTGCTAAATCTGGAAATAAATTAAGGATACAGAAATTCAGCAAAAGTGAAAAGTTGCTACAGCCTTTGACTCACCAATAATCTGAACTGTGTAATGTAAAATATGTACACATTTCTTTGGAATGTAAGGACTGAAATGAATGAAAAATGTGAAAGAAAATCTGTGGCAAAAGTTCTCTATTTTTCCTTTGAAAAACTGTAATTTATAGAAGAGAGGGTTTTTTATAATATCTATTTTGTAGAAAAAATATTTATCCTCTACTGTGAAACTGCTGAAAAGTGGAGAGAAAAATGCATAAAGACTAGGAGACCTAGGGACTCCTAATCATCATTCAGAGCCCCTAAATTTGACACCAGCTTTGAGTCTCTGGTACTCCTATTTCATGGCTGGCTTAAGCTGATCTAAAACTGCTGCCCTGGAAAGGAGTGATCCTGCCTCTTCCCTCTCCATTCCATCCCAAACTGCTTATTCCTGCCCTCTCCCTTGCATCAGCTATAGTGACTTGGGCAGGCATGGGACGATCAGGTCAATCCAGTGATGTTGCTTAAAATCAGTAATGTTTTTCCAGAGTTAACTTTAAATTGATTTAGTTTGGTAATAGAAAAGCAGCAGCAGAAATGCCGTGAAAGCTGGACCATGTACTTTTGCATTAGGATGGTTTTAGATCAGCTTAAATTGATCATGAAACTGAAATTCATCAAGATGCCTAGAGAGATGATATGAATAGACAACCTTTGGTTTCCCCACTTTAAGAAAAACTGCCAACTCTGACTTGAGCTTTATTCACTTTTCTTGTTTAGTAATGTTTAAAGTCAAGGAATACAGAGAATTTTTTTGCATTGCAGTTTCTGCTACATCTGTTGAACATAAGTTCTAGTCATACTTACCTCTTACTTCCTCTGCTTCAGTCCCTGTTTTCAATCACTCACTTTACTATGGTGCTGCACTTTATATCATTGGTAGGTATTACTGTCAAGACATATAGTGATATATATATTCCTATGTATATCAGAAATCATAATTCAGCACTTAATAGAAAAAAGAGATTCCACTTATGGTCCCCAAAAAAGCCTCTTACAACCTCCTCATATACAGGCTCAGAGGTAATTCTCCATCCTCACCCAGCATGTTTTCCCAACAAGCAATATAATTTTCCTCAACAACAGACAGGCCTGTGGCGTAACTCAAGTGTCTCTAAATCTGTGCAGTAGTGCTGTGCTTAAATCCTGTACATTTTTCCATTATAGTGTCTCTACAATATGCCATTTCTTTGTAACTTGTGAGATACCTACCATACCTAAAAACTGGATATTTTTCCCCTCTAAGCTTTACAAAAGGAATCAGATACATTAAAAATTCTGCTGCAAAGACTGTTTCTTGTTCCGACTGTTCCTTGTTCCTGTCTTAGGCTTATCCCCTCCTTAACACATGGCCTCTGTGTTCTTCAACCTCTACAGCACATTGTCCTGCTCTTCCCACACAGACTTCCTCCCACATTGTTTCTCCCACTCATCTCTTCAGATCAGGTTTAAGATCTTGCTTCTGCTTCCTGTCACGTTAAGATGCTAGTATCTATCATCCACTCGTTAACATTTTGGAATATGCCTTTTTGAGTCAGCTTCTCACAGTGTTAGGTTTTGAAGGTCTTCCCTGTGAACTTATACAGTTTACCATGTCATTCTCCTGTAAACACTTCCTTAAAATTCTCCTGTGCAAAATTTTCTATGAATCCCCTGAAAGCAGCTAGGTTCTCTCAACTGCTCTCAGTCCATCATGTTGATGAAAATGTCTTTCCTGTTTCTTACATGCATCCTGTATCTTCATTAACCTAATTTTAGCAGATCAAAAAGATGCAGAGTCTACAAAGCAGACGAGCTGGATCTACTGCCACATGTTTATTATTCACAGGGTTAGACCTGATTAGGCTTTCTGGTATCAGAACCTGCTCAGAGATGCCTCCAGGCTTCATTCAGACCTTTCATGTCAGGCAGGCCAGGTATGGCCTATGACAGAGAGTTTGGTGACAAAGTGGACAATACTTGGGTATTATATATTGAAGGGAAGGACAGAGGAATGATTTAACAAATGTACTTGTGCCTGCAGAAACTTATGGGCATGTTGATAATCTGTGCCAGGACTCTTGAGCTGTTGGCTAATATCCTTGCCAAAAGTCATGGAGCTCAGATTTACACAGAGTATATTTGTCATTAGGGTTGGTATTCATCAAATGTAACCTTGGTATCTTGTATTACTAGATGTCTTGATGTGAGTTGTTTTAATTTTTTCCAGAGATAACTCTGGAATTATCTTTAAAGCACTCAACATTCAACCCCCCCTCTCCTGCTTTGCCTTCGCTCAACTCCCAGCTCTCTGTGTTGAGTGTGATTGGTGACCTTTCTAAAGAAAGGCACCATGACTAAAAGTTGCCTCCCTGGCAACATCCATGCTGTTAGGGCTTGGAGGTAATGTATATTTTTAACCATCTAAAAAATCATAAAAGTTTTGTCTTCATAGAAGATCACTGCTATAACGTGATGTCTGCAGCATAAGGGGGTGGCCTCTGAGAGCCTCTGGCATATGGGTTTTATGTATTAGGGTCTGTAAAGGAGATACCACTTCCAAAGATTTACAGTGTGCCAGGACTGTGTGCCAGATGGTAAAACCCATTATGAGTTGCGGAGTCCTTAGAGATATTTTTTTTTTAGTTTGTTTTTGTTTATCATAAGAGAACATGCTTCTGGGTTTTAAAGTTTCAGCATGTTCTGCCTACTGCGTCACGGAGAAAAATATTAACTCCATGCTGAATCCAGGCCACTGGGAGTTATAAAAACAGTTTTTAAAAAAGGAGGTAGGCAGGCCATTTCCAGGGACAGAAAAAAATAGCTCTTTTAAAATACATCCTTGCTATTTTGATGCTAAAATGAATAGGTTGTTATTCTCTGAAGCCATTTATTCAAAAGATAAAGCAGAGTTCTTTGAAACAAGTATATTTAAACACTGCTTATCCTGCTCACCTGGAAATGCAATATTGTTCTTGCTGGAAAGGATTACCCATGTTTGGGTTTGAGCATATGATCATATCAGAGAGGGGCTCCCCCAGTCTCAAGGACAAATAATTGATATAATTTAATAAGCAATTGCAACTTTAGGCCACAGGCCAGGCAAACCAACGCAGTTCATGGGACTTGCAAGATCTGCATGGGAGAACCCTCATGGGAGTAAGGCACACTGCATATCATCTCTAGGCCAGTGATAAACCTAAGGCAGATAGTATAATGGATCTGCTGCAATAAAAAGGATCCACCATCAAGTTATTTAAATGGATTGTTTATCTTCTTCGAAGCCTGACAACTACTGTGCTTGTGAAAACTCATCTAAAAGCACAATTTCTGTGTACGGAAGAAGACGTGGGATGCATGGGAGTCCTGAGGAGATACAGGACTGAAGGGACCCTGAGGGCAGTGAGGCCTGTGAGAGTCCAGCCCTGCCTCAGGCCGCTGGCGGGCCCCGGGCACGGTTAACCACTGTGCACATTGCCTGCATCCGCTGCGAACTGGGAGCTCGCCGCCCTCGACCGCGATCGCGGTGGGGTTCCAGCAGCTCGTCCCCCTCCGCACCCGCCACCAGAGGCCTCCGCGGCGGCCGCCGCTCATCCAGGCAACCTCGGCTCCGCGGCGGGGCGCCGCCAGGTGGCGCCCGCTCGCCCGCTCCGCTGGCCAACGGCCTCCGCCAGCGCCCGTGGCACGCGGCGCCCGGGGGCGCGCGGGCGCTGTCACCGTGGCAACCGGCCGTGTGGGGCGGGGTGAGCCGCCACCATGTTTTCCTGTTTATTGTACCTCAAATAGCTGACCTTGGGAGAGACGCGGCGCCCGGCCCGGCCCGCCTCGGTGTTATCAGCGGTTTGCTTTGCCTGCCTGGGAGGCCGAGAGCCACGGGCAGAGGGCTCTGCCAAGTTCAGGGTTTTTCCAACAGCTACGCTGGTTTATTTCTAGTCTCTTTTTTGTAGCTGTCTGTTGATGCACGGGGTAGGCCCTGGTTTAAACATTTATATCCTCAGGGGTCCCTTAGGGAGCGCAGTGCTGCAGGAGTGATCAGAGCTGGCTCCTAACTACGCCCAGAATGCCCCAAGTTTATATGAAAATGAAGTAATCTTAGATTCATCATGAGTATCCATATTAAAATCCCCACTTTATGCCTTGAATTTGACTGAGTCACTTCAACTGTGCTGCAGCTCCCATTGACACACAGGCTATGGATGTGATCCAGGAAAACAAGATATTTTGAGACTGGTGAAGGGCACCTCAAGTTTGTGTTGCTCTCTGGTAAAATTACTCATTTTTATTGAAACTCACAATTCCTAGCTCAACCACGCTGTGATAAACAGGGGTAAAATGTGCCTTGCTTGAGTATTAATAGTAGGCTGCACACAGCTTTGTGCGAGTGAGAGATCAGTGCTGCGTGTGGAGGCATCCAAGTCTAATCCCTGCCGTAGACAGAACTGACAGCAGAGCTACGTGGCATACATGGCAGATGAACTACATGAATGCTTTACATTTATATTAATAAATTCAAAGCGTAAATTGGTAGCGGGGATTCTGTTGTAAAAGCTGAGGTTTCTAGTGTGCCGTTGGCTAAAAGTGGCTGAAACA